AGCTCAGTGTGGAAAGTCCATTACTATGTCTTCAAAAGTAATTTCAAAATACAAATGCAGTAGCTAACAGATTCTTTTCTCCTACCTCTCTTAAAAGATAGGTAATTTCCTTGCCCTGTGCTCCCTTATTTTCCTTAGAATGAAGTATAGGGCAGAATTTTATTTCTTGAGTTATCAGCAGTAACTCAGGCTCACTGCTGACCTAAATTCTTCCTGCTCAGAATCACTGAAGTAGAAAATAATGAAGGCAGTGTTGTTTCTCAAATGCAAAACTTAAAATTACTGGAATGCCTGCAAGTTCAAGGCCTCCAGATTTACTGTTCAATTCCTTATAATAAATTCTTACATAGGAAATTTTACCTATTTGTTAGCTATTCCTGTACTAAACTAGATAGCTTAATATAATAGTTTATCTCTCCTTTTTTTATGGTTTTCCCTAAAAGCCCTTGTTATTAAAAAGATTGTGGATGTCATTTATGGTGGAGACACAATCCACAATTTTATGCCCAGCTATCTATTTTTTATTTTCATGTCCGTGTGGAATTTAGTGCTTGAGCACAGCATTATGGAATACCTGCAACGATTTGAATGATGATTATGATTTCTTCTGTTGCTGCTTGAATGTAATTATTTGGCCAAAGTAAATATTTGGAACTTAAATGTCTTGGCCTTCTGCTTCCTTCTTTACAAGGGTGAATATTTTTATGCCAGAAAGGATTCTTGTTCATGGTGTTTGATAGCTTTCAAATGATGAATCACTTTGAGCAACATTTCTTTGAGAAACAACCAAACAACTTCATTAAAGCTGGTGTTGGCACGTGTCAGTGCTGCAAACAATCAGCATGTCAGCAGCAGCAGCATTCATCAGTGACATTTTCATTTGACTAGAATAAATTACTCCAGCTAATGGCAAATGAAGCTCTGAGTACAGCTTTGGTCATCCCAGCAGGAAATCCCACCCAAGATAAAGGTACTGAAATGGCAACCTGCCAGCCCCCTTTGCACACTCAAGTGTGTTGGTAAATACCTTCCTTTTGCTGCTCCTCTTACTTCACTGTGCTTACTGCAGTTGGCCAACTACTGATTTCTGGCTGACATTAGGGATTTCTGTTCTTTTTTAATACACAGGGAGCTGTCTACCTGTCAAAGATTTCCTCTCAGTCCCCAGGGGTGAGAGGAGCTGAACAGCATGGCTGGAGAAAATAAATTGCTGAGGACTGTTCCCTACTGTGCCAAATGCAATACAGAAATACAAATGAGAGCAAATAGTGCAGGCAAAGCCTCCCAGCACTGTGCTGCATGGAATGTCTCTGGACAGAAGCAGGAGGAGACTTGACATCCCTGGTATCCATAAAGGCCAGGGACACCCCATCCTGTCAAGTGTTATGGCTGATTTAAGGTGTGCTACTGCCATGTTCTTTGGCCTTCATTACGGAAGCAAACAATACATTATGAACCTTTAGATTTACTTCCTGATATATCAGAAGAAAATTAAATTATTATTTTTTCCCTTACAATACAGTTTTAGGGGATTTTGGAGGACTGCAAATCAAATAAAAAAAAACAGTTTCTCTTCAAAAAGGGTATCTGCATACCACAGGGATTAATTTTGTTTACGTGAAGGACTTTTGTTCATCAGCAACTGCAGCCTGGGCATGTTTGCTTTCCCAGCAAAGTGTTGCTGTCAGCTGCAATAAGATGATGGTTGTTTCCTTCTCAACTGCTGCCTGTGCCCTGTGTTGATGTTACTCAAATGTGCTGCTGCTCAAGGCAGCTCAGGGGCCTGTCTGTGCAGCCACCCTCTGCAGCCAGCTCTCAAGACAAGGAATGAAGGTGAAGATTGGGCACTCTGCTAATATGGCTTTTTACTGCCTCTGAAGTGTTCTGGTTTGCATGAAAATAACTACTTTACCAAAAGATAAATTTAGGAAATATAAAACAGCCTGGGTATGTTGCATAAAGCAGGTGGATTCATATACTGTAGGATATTCTACTAATAGAAGATCCAGCTTTGCTAATGTAATTTTGTATTATTCATATTGCATATTGAATTTTCACTTTTCATATTGCAATTTGTATTTGATCTCATTATTATACTCTCCTAGAATGCCATACCACACCAGGGAGTTGTTAGGCTGAGCATTTGGTCTAGTTTTATTTTCTGATTCCTGCTGTTCCCTTTAGAGGTGTCATTAACATGAGAATTTGGTGTTCTATATTTTCAATCATTTGTGTGCCTCAAAGGGCTCATCAGAACTCATTATTTGAAAGTGTGAGTTTGTGATTGAGACTGATAGAGAGCTATACAGGCATATATATTCTATGTGCATGGTATATTTGAGGGGGGAAGTCAGTGACTGACGTCCTGTATGTAAAGCAAGAAACTTAAATATGTCATTGCTATTTAGTTAATGGTGAAATAAGGAGGTTACATCCTAAGCTCCTCTGAAAATCTAGCTACTCACGCTTAGATAAGTATGACTTGAAGTCTTTAACTACAGATTCTCATGCATGACTGAACTGCTGCTCTAAATGGAGGTATGTGTGTATAACAGAAGTCAAATGAATGTAAAAACACTTCCACTTCATAGCATAGCAGTACTACACAAGGCCTGTGCTAGGGTGATACTGAATACTGGGAAAGGATGCCCCTTGAAACAATGCAATTTATACTTTGAATGTTGCCAAAATCAACACTGACACTATAACATTCTTGTTGCTGTTATTATAATTAATATTCTTTCTGAGTAATAATTACTAGCTGTTCTCTTTCCTTCTTTCCTTGGTAATATATAGAGCATTTTCATTAAGTTAGACATCTTTACAGTATTATCTCTCTTGTATATTCTCTGTGTGCCTCAATCTTTTTTTTTTTCCTCATTTTTCTTTTCCTGTTTCCTTCCTCATTCCTGCCATTGCAGGGCCAAAAGTTTAGACCAACCTTTGCAGAAGGAAACCCGAATTAAGTGGTCCTTGTGGCTCTGTGTTGCTCTGGTGGATGAGTTGTTTGTAGTTCTGTTTCCTATTCAGGAAAACTTCCTGAAAGCCTGAGATAAGCCTGAGTTCTAATTACACCGAAAAAGGGGCATTTTTATTAGAAGAAATTAATTCTATCACAATTGATACCTTTTTTTCATTACAGGGCTTTCTTGTTATGATAAAAATGGCTCTTAAATGGCACAGATCCCCTGTGAACAACATGAGAAACATAAGGAGTAATTCTTACATGAAAATAGATCATTCATTTTTGACACTTTGGAAGAGTTAAAGAAAGACACCCTCCAGTCAGGGATCTAATCAGTAAACCCCAAAATCTATGCAGAGGGCATTATTCCTATTTCTTGGATAAACAAAGTGAGAATTCTGGTACACTATGAAGTTCTGCTAAGATCTGTTTTAGTTGAGAAGTCACCTGCTCAGGGAGTGTTCTGCTGCCTGGCTTTCCTACTACAGGAAGGAAATGAGGAGATCAGATCCTATTTTGTGATCCTCTGCCGTTGCACTTAGTATAGAAATGAAATTACGCACCTGGGAAAAATTGCAACCAACATGGATTGCATTAGAAAAGAAACATTTTCCTCCATCACTGCAAATATATTTTCTGTGCAAGAAACTCCCTGGAATTCAAACATGATCCTAGAGTCATCCCTTGAAGCTCAGTGTTAGCCAGCCTACAGGTGTCTGTCATCTCTGCTTGCTCTCTGCTGTAAGGCTGCACTTGCTCACTCATGCCACAAGAGCAAACATATTCTCATGTCCTTTGTAGGCACCTTTCAATATCGTTGGCATCAGCTTTCTTCCCCACATGGCCTATGAGCTTTCTGTGAGTGCTCTCCAGCAGCCTCAGGTGGCTGGATGTGCCTCCCCTGTTGAGGCAGAGCACAATGCTCAGGACAAGGAAATCAGGAAATGCGCGGTGCTTGGAGATAGCTCAAGATCAAACAGGATGGCTGCTGCTCTCTGCACAGGAACATGAGTTCTGCAGCACATCTGATACACGAGTGTTTGTCTCTCAGTACTGCCAGATGGGTATAAATCTGGGCTCTCAGGATTTGGAGTGCTAAATTTGTCAAGATGGCATTGTGAGAATATTAGCTGCTGGCTGCTAAACTCTTTGTTCACCAAGAAGGCTGCTCTTGACACTTCCTGATAAGCTCTGTGAAATGTTTGTCATTTTTACTTGCCCTTTTTTTTTTTTTCAAAATTTCTAACCAGTGTTTATCTTGCCCAGGATTTAAAACTACATTTGCTTTATAAGCTATGCGAAATAACATGTAAGTAAACAACATAAAAATCAACTCAGCAATTTAAACAACATCTTTACTATTTAAATCTGTCCCCACATTTTCCCACTGCTGCTATACATTTTTGGATATATATGGCCTTCTAAGAAAAATCATATAAGTGTATTAATTTTTATTTCCAGTTCTTGAACATAAGATTTAGCAGTAAGTTTCCATCATAGTCAGGCAAATACCCTCCCCTGTGCTGCTTATGCCAGGATGTACGGTACTATCAATTGGTTTATTACCTCTATTCTTTCTAAGCTTTTGATTGCAGTCATAAACCCCAAAAGGACTCATTAAGCTTTTTTCACTTTTATTTCCATGTGCTTGGAGCACTCTTCAAAAATAAAAATTTTAATCTAAGTTAAAACTATGCTGAACGTGTTCTAAAAATCAAACCAGGTCCTAGCTCAGCAGAAAGAATTTGTGGTCTTACAAGAAGTCCTTGGTTCTGCACGCAGGCTGTCATTAATTTTAGGCTCTCAGAATAAGGGATAAGGTTTAGCATTCCACAAACAACAAGGATAGCTCCACTCAAAGAATAGACCTAAAGCTGGCCATGTTTAAAGAGAAATTTCTGATGTTAAGGTGGCTAGAAAGGTAAATGAACCCCCAAATTTAAATTAGATGAAGTGATGCACAATCTGAAATTTTGTGACATACAATAATTTCTGCAGATTAGAACAATTTGCAGGAAAAAAGGAAAAACATTACCTTGCATGCATTTTGGAGGATGACAGGGGTCTGTCTTCGATGCGATGTCCCCCTCTGAAGAACCTTGTTTTTCTTAAGGTTTTCTTTTCCACTAAACAATACAAATTTGTTTGGGAAGTCAGCTAGTGTAAAGTGGAATAGCTCAATTGAAATGGACATTTATGTTAATTCACACCAGTTCAGGACTAGCCTCGTGTACCAGGGCTACACAGTCCTTTGAAAAATGACTACAATTTTTTAAAACTAACAACTGAACAATGTTCTTTAGGCTATGGAAAACAACTCAAACTTCAAACAAAATATTTGGGCTAAGAGTATGGTGTTGATTTCCCCTACCATAAAAGCAGTCTTACTTCTACAGCAGCTTAAATAAATGACTTGTTAACATTTACAGCTGTTAACTTACTCACTCATCCAATCACAACAGATCAGTGTCAGCTGGAGTGAAAATTCCTTTAAAGCAACTGCATTTAACAAGACAGGAAAAATTAGTTCTGGAAAGCTGAAACATTTAATTACATGCTGTTTTCTGGGAATGAACCACTTTCCTTGGCCTGACAGTCCAGTGAGTTTCCCCAGAGTTCTGGAACAAGACAGGAAAAATTAGTTCTGGAAAGATGAAACATTTAATTACATGCTTTTTCCTGGGAATGAACCACTTTCCTTGGCCTGGGTCAGGTCACTCAAAGGGGTCTCAAGACCGAGGGTGCAGAGATGTTCCTGGACATTGTTCTAAGAGTAAAACAACTTTAGAAACACCTTGTTGCTGGCTCTGAGTGGCCTGCCTGAAGAGGTGTGCAGACACCCTCGTCTCAGAGGGGTCTGGAATCAAAGCCCTGACATAGCAGTTTTATTGGTTTGCTGTGTTTTAATTGGTGTGAAATGGCCAGGATGGGATCAAAATAAGGAAGTGTCTATTTGATGATAATGCCAAGGAAGTGCACTGCATTTTTAACCTCAAATATAGTTAACTGTTCAAATTATTTACCTTAATGGGATGAAAAAGAAAGACAGCATTCTCTTATGCTGATTCAATATTGTTGCTTTTTGGGGGGGTCCACATCTATGATCACTGTTCCAAATATTATGAAAACTGTTCCAAATAAAATATGTGGTTCCACTGCATTTAACTAGAAACAGTTTTCAGGCTGTTTTTGCAAAAAACAGAAAGAAAAGCAAACATGACTTGAATTCTGTCAATGCAAGTTAAAAATATGGTAAGAAAAAAAAATTTTTTAAAAATAACAACTGAACAATGTTCTTTAGGCTATGGAAAACAATTCAAACTTCAAACAAAATATTTGGCCTAGAGAGTATGGTGTTGATTTCCCCTACCATAAAAGCAGTCTTACTTCTACAACAGCTTAAATAAATGACTTGTTAACATTTACAGCTGTTAACT